CCCCCCCCCCCCTATTGTTTTTTTTTGCGATAACTCAAAAAGTAGTTGAGCTCGGAAACTCAAATTTTCTGGCTTTTCTAACCAACCATTCCCCTCACTTAGGGCTGGGCTTGTATACCTACTGCCTAAGTCCTCAGGGATACTGCCTTTATGCCTTATTTTTCCATTCATTGGATTTTAACATTTTATAGCTCTTTGGAAAGCCTATAACAAAAGCAAGCAAATTGCACAATTTTTGCAGAGAAATATTGCACTGATTTTTGCACGGACGCCCTTAAAGGGATTTTGCACATTTTCAATTTTTCTTGAATACACATCTAGGTTTTAAAATTTTGCAAATGTTTTTGTATATTTGAATTTGCTGGGTCAAAAATGTATAGTTTTTTGCAATTTGCGCAATTTTTTTTGCAAATTTTTTGATTAATAACTAGATTTCGCATTAAATATTTTGATTTGTGCAAATTTGCCATTATTTTGCAGATTTTTGAGGTAGAGCCCAAAGGGCTTTCCAAAAACGTATCAAATGTTATATACTTGCGTCACAATAAGAAAATAGAGAGGGGGTCAATTTGACCCCCCCCCCCCACCGGCAACCAGTCATCAGTAAACCAGACATCAGGCAAAATAGGGTTAAGGCCCCCAGCCTATTTTAAGGTTTAAATATTTCATTATTTTAGTTTATCCAACCTACTGCCCCGGTCAACTTTGGATATTAACACCTGGAACTGCTGCCAGGTATACTCCCCTATAAACAATGACGCATGAATAATAAAATGAACCTGGGCAACACTGGGCACTTCAACTATTTATTGATATTATAGTGACCATTTATTAAGATATGAATTACTAGCTGAAGTGCCCAGCGTTGCCCGTGGAGTTCCGATTTTTCTAATGAAAATATTTTGATTTTTTTAGCCTAAGTTAACCCATGGGTTTCCTCAAAAATTTTAGATTTGTTGAGGAAGCAACTACAGCAAACTATTTTTGGATAGAAGATGTGTGGGTGACAGGATACTTAGGTTAACAAATTTAAATTTAAACATTCAAAACGCTTTAATCTAGACATGAGGAAAAGGTCTTTTTATGAAAATACTTGTATGACTTGTAACCTCGTAGCTGCACACTTTGATACTAATATATATATATATATATATATATAGGAACCAAATACTTGACAAAATACTCTGATTTTCTAATTTCTAATCCTTTAATTAAACAAGCTGTCGATATTTCCAACTATGAATTCTGCAATATCAGTTAGTAACAATTTAAAAATATCAAATTATAACATCCACAGATTACACAATTATAAGAATTAGAAAATCTCTGTTTGCGGCACCTATACAGTTCCCTTTAAAGCAAGTTAATATATAATTACTTACATCACAATAAAGAAAACAAAATTTAATAGTTAATTTTTAGCAAAAGCATTAAAAATAATCCAAATTGGTATGGATAAATGGGGGACCATGAACCATAGAAAATTGTTGCTGATGAAATCTATCCAGAATCCACACACTTATTTCAAGGTGAAACCATTGAAATTAAAGGGAGAGACCAGCTAGACATGGTGGTTTAGCTTAGAGTGCAATTTCTTTATTGTTCAGGATTCGTTAATCACCATAGCAGGACATTGATACAGTTAATCACCATAGCAGGACATTGATACAGTTAATCACCATAG